CCTCTTCAGAGCCTTGCAAGGTTTGGCCCCTGCCCTCACACCACCAGCGTCCCACCCTACCTTGCACAGAGCTCACCCCCCAACCCAGCTGTGTGTGGGGGGGTGGAGGGACGGGGTGGGGGGGGTTCACTTCCATGCCTCTGTGCAGGCTGATTGCCTTTTTGCCTGTATTGCCCTTTCCCTTCTCACCACCTCCTTCCTCCCCAGTAGCCTTCTCTGCCACCCCTTGCTGCTTTGTGTGAAGTCATGTTCTCACTCTCGTTTACACAGATGGTGGTTGAATAATGTTCTGAAGGCTGGCTTGGGGAACTCAACCACTCACCTGAGTTTGGGGGTTGCTTTTTCCCTTTCCAAAAAAAAAAAAAAAAAACCTTGCAATTTTAAATATCTGACTAAAATAATAACAACTAAACTACTAAACTAAAAGAAGATGTTTTTCTCAGTGGAGCGTGGAAATCATAACAGTGCTATTAAATTGAAGCGAAGTGGGAAGAAAGAGTGTGTCCGCAGCGTGCTTCAGGAATATGCTGGACAGTCTAAATGGACTTTTCTGCGCTTGAATTATCAGCAAGCTGTAGCATATTGCTACATTCAGTCACAAATGATTTCTGAGGACTTCTGATCTTTCCTTCAGTAGTATGTTATTGGCAGGATCTAACAAAGATGATGCCCACAGGCATTTGCCTCTAAAACAGTTGAAATATAACCCGTAAGAGAACAATCCATTCCATGGGAATTTCCTCAACAGGGTGTGCAGAGTGGTAACTTGTGACTTGTCTAAAGGATGTTGTCTTTTCGAGACTTTTGGTGGGTCCCAGAATCTCAGCTTAGTTTAGGAGTTTCTCCTTCAAGGAATAAATTTTTTCCAGATGGTAGAAGTTTGGAGTGGGGCAGGAGATACTCTTTCCTCAGTGGAAAACTAAAATACAGTGCTGAGTTACCTTTCCAAAATGATGAACAGAAATAAAAGGTTTATCCTGGCTTCTCAAAAAGTTATTTTAAGCTTATACAGGTTACCTCAAGTGTAAACATTGTATTTAATGCCAGTGAGCATTATACTCACTTGACAAGGTAGAAATTAATGCATTATAAAACTCTAGAAGCTACATTTGGAAAATGTCTTTTAGTCTTCCCTATTTTTTCTTTACCCCAAGTTGCCCACAGAGCATTCAGTAGTCCTAAAGGTCTTCATGGAGGTCCTGTCCTCATAAGCAAGCTCTCAGTCCCACAGGTAATCCCAGAGTTTGCCCCCTTCTAAAGGCCATCTGGCATTGCGACTTGCATCACTTTGTACTAAAGTCTCCCGCTGTTTCTTCCTGTCGATTGTGGGACACCTGGGGGGTGCGGGGGTCACTTCGTTCTCTCCTAGTCTGACTAGAGAGAAGAGGGCTCCCTTTGTGCATTAGATGCTCTCACCTCAGTATATTCTACACGTTTCCATATACTGTCTTTTGTCTTACCTCTGATACTGCCGTTCTCAGGCCAGGCGATTTGACCCCCAGGAGACATGTGGCAACACCTGGAGAAAGTTTTCATTGTCACAGCTAGGGCGTGGGGACTCCTGGCATCCCCCAGGGGAACGTGGTGGGGGGGCGGGGAGTCCTGCCAAACATCCAACAATGCACAGGACCATCCTGTGTAACAAAGACTAATCTGGAAAAATGTCAGCAGTGCCAAGGTGGAGAAACTCGGGGCTGCTGCTGTGCCCGCCTAACTCGGGTTTCCTGGGGTTGCTGCTGTGCCCTGCGTTTACTTCCGGTGTGACCCAGAGTCTCTGTCACAGGAAGCTAATGACCTGTCAGCCTTAATTCTCTCCTGCAAGTTCTTTCCCGTTAGGTGTTGGTATTTCAAAGGAGTACTTTTTAATATATATATTTTTTCCTTTTGGAGTTTTCTTTTGTTCTTTGGGATGCTTCTTTTCTAGCTCGGTAATGAAAACAAACGCTTATTTACAGTTTGTTATGAAGTGGATGACCTTTTTCATGTCATTTGACTTCTCTTTGCCACCCTGGTTTTCTCATCTGAAATACGCAGATAATACTAGGTCATGCAGTTGTTAGAATAGCAAAGGGATTTTACATATATTGTTATCATGTACTAACATTAATAATGATAATACATTAGTATTGTTATATTAGGAGGTATACAAATATAGGTAAAGTGCTCACAGAGTGAGTCCTAGAATCATATGCTCCCTCTTTTCAATGTAGAATTTCTTACGTATAACAGTTTTCTGTTTATGTCCATAAAATCTGAAACACATTCTAAGCCTTTCATATTAGACAAATGCTTTGTATAGTTCATTTCTTTTAGTCCATGCATCAGCCAACATTTGAAATAGTCGTACTAAAAGGAAATTCAGGAAGTTGTCAAACCTTGATTGTGATCTTCTATTTTCCGTTTAGTCTCATACCCCCTCTAACTCTTACACTGGGTCAGCGCTGACTCTGGACTCCATCGGGGCTTCGTGTAGGTAGAACTTCAGGGCACTGAGGTCATTGTTCTCCATCCAGGCAGATGGACTGAGACTAGGAAAACCCCCCTGAGCTAAACTGAACAGGAAGAAGATCTGAAACTCTCCAGTTTCTACCATTACAGGCCTGAGGCTGATGTAGCAGCGAAAATCGCAGACCTTATCAATAAAATTTTCTATCTTAGAGGAACCTTGGTGATAATTCAGTCATCATCATCTGTATCTAGTATAAAATCCCCATTTTAGAGGTGTGGATGCAGAACGGAACATTTTAAGGAACTGAATAACAGTAGAGCTGGGACAAGAGAGCTGGGCTGGAACATGGGCTTCTAACACTCATTGCTGGGCCTTCCCCCCACCCACTAACTGTCTCCTTCTCACCACCTCATTTGCCTCCATGTGCTTTTGTTTCTTTCTTAATAGCATCATGTTCTCTGTCACCTGTTCTTCATATTGTGAATCTGAAATATTGGCCACTCAATACCACGTTTTAATGTGTCACTCTTTTAATCAGTATTCCTATGTGAATATGACCAGAATCAGGTAAATGATATCAATGTTCACCTAGGTACTCAGGCAAAAACCTTAAATCACCCTTGATTTCTCACATTCGTTTCCACCCCCCATTTAAATCCTAAGGCCTGTCCTCTCTACCTTCAAAATATATGTGCCAATTCTTATCACTTCTTTCCTCTTCCAGCATAGTGGCTCTGGCTTGAATGTCCAGTAGAACTTTCTGTGACAGTGGAGGTGTTCTGTATCCATGCTGTCCCATTTAGTAGTCACTAGCTACCTGTGGCCATTGAGGGTTTGCAATATGATTAAGTGTGACTGAGGAACTGAATTTTTTTTATATCAGCTTTATCAGTACATATCCTACATTCTACTCATTGAAAGGGTACAATTCTATAGTTTTTAATATATCATGTGATTGTGCAGCTGACACCTTAATATTTGGGCATTTTCTTTGCCCCCCAAAAGAAACCCCATAACTATGAGCAGTTATTTCCCATTCTGCCCCCTCTCCCCCCAAAAACTCCTACCTCCTGACAATCACTAGTCTACTTTCTGTCTCTGTAGATTTGCCTCTTCTGAACAGTTCAAGAAGTAGAATCCTACAACAATTGCCTTTTGTGATGGCTTTTTTCACTTAGCACAAGATTTTCAAGGTTCACCCATGTTATAGCATGTTTCAGTGTTTCATTCCTCTTTATTGCTCAAGAATGGAAGGATAGGTGTTTTGAACTTTTTCCTTCCTTTCCTTTTAATGAGATTCTGCCTAACTTTCAAGTTATCTCCCCTAAATTTCCAGACCTTTCCTTTGTAAGTCGGTGGCCGTCTCTCTCCGTTCTCCTTGGATAACACTTCACGTTCCCCAGCAGCAGTCTTTTACTTTAGGTGTATAGCTAATGCAGCCCATAATGTCACTTTGCAGTTGATCTTTCCTTATATATGCAAATATTCCTATCTTGAATCAGGAGAAAGACCATGCCCTGGAGCTCTATCTATGGCCCCACAATGACCAGATTCTGCTTATGATGCTACCTGGTCATTCTGGTGTCTTAGAAAACTAAACAGATCTTGACACTTTAATGAGAGATTCCTCAACAAGCACATGGGTCAGTGAGCCCGCCCAAATATATGTGTATGGCAGCTACTGGGTTGGAAATTTGAACACAAAAATCCCTCTAATACTTGGCCTCTCAGGCACAGACCTGAATTTGAGTATAAAAGGGAATAAAAGGAGATTAGCAGTGCCATCCAAAGAAACCATTCCTGATGTTGAAAAAGGCTTTGACCCCTCAGGATAATAACCAGACTTTTCACAGCAGGCTAGCTGATGGAAGTTAGACAATTCCATTAGAGTTCAGCCTTAGTAATTGTTTTATACATTGTAATAGTCGTTATAAACGAAAAAGTGGACAAGAAATAAAAGCTTCAAATTCCTAGTTGTATTTTCTAGATGTCTCTCATTGGATTGTTTGCATTCCCCCAATTTATAGACTTCAGAAGTTTATGCAGTTGCATATGAGAACATGAGTAATGAATACTCCCTCCAAATTCTCTGAGTTCAATAATTATGAATTGATTTGTATTCATGTCGTTATCTTCCTTTATTGGCTCATAGTTCCAATTCACAAAAATTAAAAATAAATCCTAAAGGAACACTCAGAAAAAGTCAAATGCTTCTATAAATAAAGACAGGTTATTATAGTCTAACTCTTCCCTTTGCTTAACCCCACAAGGGGAGATTTTAATCCTTATAAAAATATAAATTTCAATACAGATCAAGTGTTTGGTTCATTTTGTTAGAAACCTGATTTTGTTTGTTTGCTTCATTTGGAGAAAATACAAGATGAAAATAATTCACAGTTAGAAAGAAGAGGCATTCGAATCACAGATGATACAGTTTTTGAAAATCCGTTACGTTTTGATAAATGTTTCTAAAGTTCTGTTTTTATATTCTGAACAAAACAGATTGCAGTGCTCTTCTGCTGAAGTTAGTAATAACTTCTTTGTTTTTCAGATACTGCATTGGCCAGTGGCCAGGCCACAGACTATTTATTTGTTGGAAATATTGTTTACACGGTAAGTTTCTCTCTGTTTACAGAACTGTTCTTAAGTGGCATATGTCGGGGCACTGCCTCTGGAAACCCTTTATATAAGGCCTTCCTTCATATTGTTTGTTTTAAATCTTTCAACTCAATAGTATACATTTCTTAAAGCTCAAAATGGTTGTGAAACGCTTACCTCATTTTCTAGCAGAGATTTTGCAGAGTAAAGATTTCTAGACAGGTGATGACCAGGTCACCTCAAGGCAGTTTCACATCTAGCTGTGAAAAAAAAAGCAGCACCGTAGAAGGTGATTTTTCCCAAATCTTTCCAAGCTAAGAAAAGCACAAAAGTGACTCCCACTGCCTCTGGAGTGGAAACTTGGGATTTCTCCTGGAAAGTAATAATAAGTCACCAAGGATAATACATTTTCCCCAATTCCTGTTTGTTTTCACAGTATGTTGTTGTCACTGTGTGTCTGAAAGCTGGTTTGGAGACCACAGCATGGACTAAAGTAAGTTTTCTCTGGAACTGTTTCTCTATCCACTACAGATAATTTGATGTCATGGATCTTTTTTTAAGCCTTGGGAAACCAGTCAGCAGGATTGAGCTATCTCATTTAAATTTTGCATGTAAAAAAAATTTTCATTTGATCTTTATCAGGGCAAATTTGCCATCCAGAGTTTTCCAATGATTCATTTGCTTGGCGCTTACTAACAGCTCTAAGCTATTAACAGTCCTTTCATTTCAAGTGTATATGCATGTTGTAAAAAAAAAAAAAAATACAGAAAATACAGAAGGACATAAAAGAATTTTTAATTTCCAAAAGTTTATGAACAAGGGGGCAGTTACTGTTATGACTTTTCTGGGTAACATTATAGATGTTTCATATGTATATTTTTAATAAGATAATGCTTTATGGAGCATATAGCTTTGTAATCCTTTTTTCAGTTTAAAATAGATCGTGGACATTTTCCACACCTTAAAGTACACTTCCCACAAAATCTTTGTTCATAATTAAAGAGCATTAAGTTTGATCAATATCCCATCATTTAATCATTCTCCAATTTTAGACATTTTGGTGACATGTCAAATTTCAGGATCATAACCCATCTTTCATGTTTGTCTATCACTGCTTTATAAATAGACTCCTAATTCTGTGCTGGGAAAATGAGGGTGGAGATTGGAGGTGCTTGTGGAAGTAGGGAATCCATCAAGTGACAATGGTAATTAATCCAGACAAGAGGTGATGGTGGCTTGGCCTGGGCTCTTACAAGGGGGTGTAGTGAGAAATGGTCAGATTCTGGAAGCATTTTTGAAAAGCTAACAGACCTTGATGGTGGATTATGTCATGGAGTATGGAAGAAAAGAAGTCAAGGATCATCATATTCAGAGGCAAAGGAGAAAAAGCTAACAACTCAGCAGATGCTTAGAAGATTGTTAAGATGTAATATCCAGCCCAGATTTGTAAAAAGTTCTTTGGAAAATGAAAAGAAGAATCAAAGTTTCCAAAACAATAAGTAAGAACATCTTATTCTTTTTTGTCCATGTGGTGCTCTCTTACTGGACTAAGGTGAACTGGCCAATGTAGCTCCAAGTTGGATCAAGCATTGGTGAGGACCAGTGAGGGGCTGGCTAAAACTGTGCAAGGGGTCTAGGAGAAGGTCTGCTGAGGCAGCAAAAGCACCTTGATCTTCAGGGTAGTTTGGAGCCTCCTGATCCTTGAATTCATTGTGTGACATTCTGAGACAAGATAATTACAAGATGGCACTTTCCAGTGACTAGTGAAAAATGTATCCATGAAGAAAGCTGGCCTGGACACAGGGTTTCTGTTGCAGGTGGGGGTGCGGGTGGCTCACCTGTGCCAGCAGAGAAGCCCTGCCTGAGCCTCTATTTCCTTTTGCAGTTCAGTCATCTGGCTGTCTGGGGAAGCATGCTGATCTGGCTGGTGTTTTTTGGTGTCTACTCAACCATCTGGCCCACCATTCCCATTGCTCCAGATATGAAAGGACAGGTCAGTGCTCCTAACTGTGAGTGGGCTTTCCTTGTCTCATGACACTGATGCTTTCTGGGCATGGGCTCTCTGTGTCTCATGACACCAGTGAACTTCAGGAGAGGTTGGTGCAGCCTACTTCCATCAACATTCATCAGGAGAGAAACAGACCAAATTAGAGAATCTGAAAGAGGTTGCCTTGTCCACAGAAATGGCATTGGAAATTTTAATATTAGAGATTGTCAACTTACATCTGCTGGCCTACCCAGCATGTTCATGTTTCCATAATGAATCATGTGTTAATTACATACAGCCCTGATGTATCCAGGTAGTTCATGGCCCTAAACTGGAGATGTTCTGAGTCATTTGCCATCCAGTGGTGATGCAGATGGTCGTTGTGAGGTTAAGTGTATTGTTATGCTCTGATTATCAGTCACCTGTGAAAGATAAATCTAACAACTCCATTAGCCAGATCATTGATTAACCAGAATATCTCATTGTTCATCTCTTGAACTAGAGAGGCTCATTTGAATTTTTTTTTAGTATTTTCTTTTCTTTTGTATTATCTTTATCCAGTGTTTGAGACTGAGCCTTCAATAGTGACAAGCTGGATCTTAGAACCCTATAGTATTGGGTCTGGAGAGGAATTTGACAATTCCAGGTTGCAAACCACCTCAGTTTATAGATGAAGCTGGACAGGCCCAGACACTCCAGCCTCACCCTGTAGACCCCCATTTTCTGATCTGCTCATTTCTAGCACTGTCCTAAGATCCCAGCAGGTGGTTGCCCCAGGCTCTGTGCTTTGGAAGCCTCTGAGCTGGCCAGCCTTGGCTAGGTCTGTTCCTCTTCACAGGGTGAGAAGCCCATGGTACACAGAGCCAGAATCCTACTTCTAGTCCATTCCCTGGGTTTCTAAGATCTTGAGTTTCCTTCCTCAATAGCCACAAAAGCCCACTTCCCAGGCCTGCATGGTCCTTTCCCCATATCCAAGCCTTTGTGAATACCCTTAGCCCAAGGGGCAGCTAGTTGCAAGACACATGCATTGGGCCAATTGGATGTTTGCCTCTCTATAGCCACCCTGACTTGCATGAGGACGCTTATGCTGGGGGACAGATACGAGGATGAGAAGAGAAGGCCTATGGGTCAGGGACTTCCACTGGTGTTCCTTCCCCAGGAATGCATATTGTAGGGCCAGGCCTGTGCATGGCACATCTGGCTATTATCCTAGCCTCACTTCCTCTGCAGAAATAAGCCCAAACTCCTGGGTCTGCCCAACTATAAATACATGTGCAGCAGCTGTGTCATGTGAGATAACCCAGGGGTGGCATTGCTTGCCTTGTTCCCTTGGCTAATCAGTAGCCGTCAGACCCCAGGGCGTCCAGGACCTCCTCAAGTGCAGGTGTTGGCCAGGACAGACCTGTGCTACAGAAGGGGGCACATAGTCCCCTAACACATCTACACAGTGAGGAATGAGGACAAACCCATAACACACTTGGCAGTTCTTTCCCACACGCAAGTGGCGATGGAAATTACAGCGCGTTGAATGAATCAGGAAGATTGTAGAGCATTTCAAGAAATCAGTTCTATTTTAAAGCAATGTGATTCATCCCCCCCACAAACAAACCAAGACAAGTATTCACAACAACAATGATCACTTGGCAAGGCGGTGGTGCCTAGAATATCTGCTTTTGGGTTCTCTTCCTTCTGGGAATGGGCAGGTATGGCCTTGTGACTTTCTTTTGGGGAATTTTATGGTGCGGGACAGCAGCTGATTGCTGCAGATAGTTTCTTAGGTGAGAGGAGAGTGACAGCTAGCAGAATGGGATCAGTCCATGTGTGACTGGCCAACAAAATCAATTTTCTTGGAAGCCCCTCCCAGTGCCCTCACCAGAGAGATACCCAGGTGTACCCCCTCTGCGTGCATCTGCAGCAGCAACCCTAGGTTAGAGGTGCCCAAGCTAGGTTGGCCTCTGACTCTCACTCCAAGCCACAAGCTACTTTCCAAGGGCAGAGAGGCCTCATCTGCTGGGCAGATACTACTAACGTGCCACATGGTCACTCTCCAAGTGTGCTGGTCTGTGTGTGAGGGCTTGGCCTAATGGTGAAATTTCTGTCGTTGCGGACCTTTCAAACACATTAACAAGGTATTCCTATCATCCCAAAGCAAAGAAATCATAATATCAAATCACGTATCGTTTTGTATAAATTTTTTATTTTTTTGTTTTTTACATCATTCTCACTGTTTTGTTGGTTGGTGGGTTTGTATGAGGCAAATGATGTTACTTGGAAATCGAACACAGCTGGCTAAGGTGAGGTTCTCATTAGACGCCAAATAAGATGATTAAGGTAGTTTTCATGTCATGGGACTTCCGAGTGGGTATTCTGCTGTGTGTGTGTGAAGGCCTGTTTATGATCACTAGTCTTCCTCCAGGGTAGACCTCTTAGTGGGGACAGGGTGTCAGAAATACAGTGTCAGAGCCATCCTAACACTCTTTCACCTACTATTGCTGCCCAGCGTTTTGTTCATTCTTTGAAGCCTTTTGAAGAAGCCCTTATGTGGAGAGTGACCAAAACTAGCCAGAGGTCTCCCAAAGACTTCCTGCTGCCTCCGAGGGAATGACAGGCTGTCATGAAGAAAGCTGGAAGCCGGGCTCGGGTACCAGCAGGAACAGGGCTCCTCGGGGCTACTATTGAAAATCAGCCCAAGCCATGGTCATCTCTTTGGTCCTGGGTGGGCATTATGGACTCAGTGTTTGTGTCCTCACCTCAAAGTCTCGTGTTGAGGCCCTACCCCCCACTGCGATGGTATTTGGAGGTAGGGCCTTTGGGAAGTAACTAGGTCATCAAGAGGATTAGTGCTCCTTATAAGAAGGAGCCAGAGAGCTAGCTCACTTGTTTTTTGTCTTGTTGAAGATACAATGAAAAGTTAGTTAGATGCTGAAAGAGGGTCCTCACCATCGTGCCAGCACCCTGATCTCAGATGTCCAGCCTCCTGTACTGTGAGAAATAAATGTCTGGCTGATAAGCCACTCAGTCTATGGTATTTTGTTATAGCAGCCTGAGCTAAGACAGTTGGTGAATGCTTAGGAGTGAGGGGTACTCTGGGAAAAGACTTTTATTATTATTATTATTATTATTAGATGTTCCTAGTGACTTGTATAAACCATTTTTTTGTAGTTCACAGAGCAGTAGGATTTTGGCAAATGAACACGGTTCTTTTGAGCTTTGGAATGAAACTAGTGTTTAATGGCAAACAGCATTTCTCACTCGGGAGCCTGAGACAGATGCCCCACACAAAACATTCTGTTTGTTCATAACATCCTAAACTGTTGAAAAGGTACATTGTTCCTGCTGGGATTTCCTAATGGATTTGGTTAAATATTTCTTTCTTTGTCTTGTCCATTATATCTAGAGTTTTTCTCATGAGGGAGAAGGCAGGTTTTTCCTTGAGGGCCAGAAAGACGAAGGCTCTAGATGAGAGTGATTTTCCACTGTCAAAGGGTCTTTATCTTCCCTCCAGCACCTCATGATATGATATGCAAAACCCAACCAGACAGTGAGCCCCAGAAAGTCCCAGTGGAAGTTTCTGAAATCAAAGAAGTCATCTGCAGACTCCGTCTCCTGAAAATACGCATTTGTGGGATTTTAAGGGACACCTTGTTTTTCCATTTTTCTAGGTCCAAACTAGATCTAAAGTGAATTAAAAACTCAAGTTATGTCTATCCTGGTTAAGGCCAAAGTCCCCTACCAGGGAAAACATGTGCTGATGTTTTTCCATAGGGGACCATCTGCTTTTCCTTCTCCCAGTAGCATAATCGCATCTCTGTAATGGGTCCCCAAAGCCAGTGCTCAAGGTAGAAAATTTCAAACTTCATTTAGCTCAGAGCTGCCTGCTGAGGAAGAGCTTTTGATTAGAGATGAGGAAAACTTTATCTAAAACCGGATCAGGAAATGTACTACTATTTTCTTCACGTTTCTGAAGGCTTTTGACTTGGGAAGTATCTGAGGGGATGCCATCTCATTTGACGTCTGTGTAAAAGGCTAAAGAGACCTGCCCCAACTAGCTCTGTCACCTTTGGTAAATCACTAAGCCTGTGTTAATTTCCTTATCGACAAAGTCAGAATAATATTATCCACCCTCATTATCTCTGAGGAATGTGGCACAGGTATAATAAGAAAACCCAAGGGAAATGGAAAACATGCCTGCTCTTTTTTCGGAAGTAACTAATTAGTTTTGAACTTCTGTAAATAGAAATATTGTGACTTCAACTCCTAATTCTTTTGGCCAAAGAATTTTAACATTCTATAGGTTCTAGATGTGCTATTTCTCAGTAAGGTCCAGGGACCACCTACACCTGAATTATCTAGGTTACTTGTTTGGGTTTTTGTTTTGTTTTGTTTTGTTTCTGTTTTTAAAGATTTTATATATTTATTTGAGAGAGAGAGAGCATGAGAGGGGAGACGGTCAGAGGGAGAAGCAGACTCCCCATGGAGCTAGGAGCCCAAAGCGGGACTCGATCCCGGAACCCCGGGATCATGAACTGAGTTGAAGGCAGTCGCTTAACCAACTGAGCCACCCAGGTGCTCTCTAGGTTGCTTGTTAAAAAACAACCTCCTCCCCACCCAGAAAATATGTTCTTGCAATATGCATGCACACACACACACATACACACACACACACACACACACACACACACACACAGTCCCTGAGTGCATAGCCCCAGCCTGTGAATTTTAATAAACCTCTGAGTTGTTCCTCCCTGAATGTCTGAGAACTGCTCCAAAACACCTGAAATATTCCTCCGTCTCAGTGTTTGAGTCATGCAGGGTGTTCTAGGAGAAGATGGTGTTATTTAAAATATCCACAGATGATTTATGTCCCCTGGGCAGTGGTTACGTAAGACGTGGCAGGAATCACCAATGACAGCTTTAAGGCACCTCGCTTTCTAAATAGAGAATTATACCGAAAGACATTACATCGTTCGCCATGGAAAAATATTCCTCATCACCTTTGGTGCTTT